GGTTCCAGCGAGGCCCCGCCCTCCTCGCCGGCGCTGATTGGCCGCCCGCCCCCCCGCGCGCCCGGCCACGCCCCCTCCGCCTGAGCGGAGCCCTCGCTGATTGGCGGATGGGGAAGACGCATGCGCAGTGTGGCAGCATGAGGGCGGCGTGGCGGCCATGTTTGGTGAGGGCGGGGCGGGGCGGGGCGCGGTTGCCATGGGAACGCGGGGGCCGCGCTCGCCCCGCCGCCCCCGGGAGGGACCCGCGGCCTTTCGCCGCCCTTCCCGTGCCCCTCGCCCGGCTTGCGAAACAGGATCGTTTCCTCTTTCCAGAAGACGCCTTCCCTTTTCCAGGAACGGCCCGGACGCGGGGAAGCGGCGCTGTCTCCCCCCGCTCTCCCGGGGAAGGATGTGCCTGAGGCAGGAGCAGCACCGGCATCCTCATGGCAGGGAGGGAATGCGAACAGGAGAGCGTGATGATGCACCTGGCAGGTACATGAGGCATCTCCCGGCAAGGGCATGGGAGGGCAGAGCCCACCGGGGATGAGTCCCCATTCCCAACATCCCGGCTCCAACGGGAGAAGGGAGAGCAACAGGGAGAGRAAAAGGATCCGGGAGAGAAAAGGGRACYRGGCAGTGAAAAGGGACCAGAGAGCAAAAAGGGGACCAGGTRGASGAAAGRAGATTGRGAAGAGAAAAGGGACAGGGGGAGARAAGAGAACCAGGGGGTCAAAAGGYRAAAAGGRWGAGRARAGGGACCAGAGGGASAAAAGAGGCCCTGGAAGTTTAAAGGGAACCAAGAAGTGAGTTTGTCAGAGCTGACACCGCCAAACCTTAAAAAAATTACAACACGGGCTCGAAAGTTAGTTGAGTTCTGTTTCTTTGCCGCCTTCAGATCCTCTTTTCAGCTCCTCTCCCAGGCAGAAGGACACATCCTTTTGCAAAACCCAGCTGGGGCTGGTACCACACAGCGTCAGCCTCACCACAGGGGCTGTGACGGGAAACCAGGCAAAGGGAAACTGCGGGTGCTGCAGTTTGGCCACAGCACTTTGGGAAGCACAAAAACACTGAACTCAGGCCTGGAGGTTGGGCAGCACAGCTTCAACCTCTGGATCCAGCCTCCTCGAGGGAGTTTTGCTTCTCCTCTGGCACCCACTTGCTGAAGAGTCAAATGGACAGGACAGCAGGAAGAGCACTAAACACAACAAGGGAGCTGGCCTGGATTGGTTATAAAACTCTCTGCCTTCATTTTATTGCCTTTGGTAAAGCTTGGTAAATATTTCTGGGACAGGCAACTCCTTGTCTGGCTTTAATTACCTGGGCAAATTTTCCTAAGGATTATATTGACCTCAAATATGTCAAAGTTTATTGAGGCTGTGTTCCTGAGGCTTTTCCCATTAGGTGCTAATGGATTCTGGCTAATAGTCAAGCCGGATTGACCACCAGCAGGTGCCCTGGCCAGCTCCACGCTACCACAAGTACCTGGGGAGGGAACTGGGGAGGGCAACATCGGCTTCGTGAGAGCCAAGTACAAAAATCACCATGGCTCTGATCCAAAAAGATCAGGGAACACTCTTGAGCAATTGCATTCCAGACTATCTGCTTCCCTGGGCATGATTCAYGCCACGTCGGGGCTGCAGCTATGTCTGAGACTTCAAGCAAAGGTTGATTTTGCCTGGGACTGTTCTGACTGTCTCACTTGGCACTGTTGGGAGGGTTTCACCTGGCACTGTTTCACTTGGGACTGTTGGGRCAGGTGCAGGGACCCCACACCTTGGTGCTGTTGGGGGCACCCAGCCAAGCTTTCCCCACCTCTCCCTCACCCATTCAGCCCCAAAGCACCCTSCAGCTGGTCAGCCCTGCTCCCTCCCGAGCTGTCAGCTCCAAAAAGCTCTGGAAAAACCTCCTTGCACCTCAGATGGCTGCACTGAGCTCAGAGGAGACCACAGAGGCAGAGACTTCCCTGCCTGGTGGGGCGATGCTCCATTATCGCGTTTCCGTTCGCTCTCGAGAAGGGGCCGAGRTAAAACCTCAGCCAGAGGTCTGTGGTTCTTGGCCACATGCAAAACTCCGTGCTCGTTTTTGCTCTCCCACGCATGGCAGAGCGATGAAAYTTCCCCTGCTGGGATCCCCCCTGTCCCCCTCACTCAGCATTGTCACAGCCCTGGCAGTGCATGATGCTCCTGCTGTAAGGAGAAAGAACTCTCAGGAATGACCATGGAGCACCAGGGATGCCTGCAGGAGTTTGCCCTCAAAATTCAGGAATTACAGTTCCCAGGGGCTCCTGGGATGGCTCTTAGCCCCTACCTCCTCAACAGCACACCTCGAGAGCTTCCCACATCCACTGCCCACTCCAGGATTGAGAAGAGAGGATGGATTGGCCCTGGGAGTGCTGTCTATAACATCACCCACACAAGCAGCAGTGTGGATTTGTCCTTTAATCACACCCCAAAAGGGTGGTGCAGGAACAGTGCAGTGGTGGACACTCACTGCCCACAGGTTCAGGGTGAGGATGAGGGAAGAAACGCAAGAGGTGTCCATGCACGTGCAAATCTGAGCCAGCCCTCAAATGCCCTGGGCCATGGTGCAGAGGGCAATGCCTCAGCTCTCCTGGGAACTGGGCAAGGGCTTCAGTGCAATGTCCTGAGAAATCCCTGGAGGTAGCTGGGCAGGCAAAGACACAGGTCTGTCTTCAGGGTTCGAGGAGCTGCCACTGTGCTTGATAAAAGCTCGGAGCCGGCCTCGGTGAGCAGAGACGAGTCCCTGGGAGTGTCATGCTGTGAGCCAGGCATGGAGACACAGGAGCTGCGTGTGCAGGGTCCATGCTGAGCAGTGCTGTGGCCCGAGGRGCTGGGCTTGGCCTGGGTGGAGGTGCTGAGTGGGGGAGCCTGTCCAGAGGCTCCTGGGCTGTTAGAACGCCTGGCACAGCTTCCTCTGCTCCTCCTGGCGCTGGCTCTGSGGGGACACACATTGGAGGGGTCTTTGTGCCTGGCCCCTGTGGCCCAGGGGACTACACATTCTCTTCCTGGTGCCAGGAAAATATTAGGATGGGCAGGGAGACAGGACTCAGAGCACTGCCAGGCTGCAAGCTCTGCCCTGAGGAGTTACCTGGATGATCTCAATGCTGTTGGCAGCAGCCATCAGCCAGGACATGGGTCCCTTTGGTCCCACCTCAACGTGACAGAGCGCAGGGGAGCCGCTGCGAGAGGGCAGGGAGGGCGTGCAGGAGCCTGAGGCGGGGTCACTGTCCTCAAAGAACTGCAGAGGGGACAGCCCAATCTAGAAGGGTAAAAGAGGGATGGATGCACAGCCCCTGTGAAGGACATGCAGCCCCACAGCTCCCCAAACCTACCGAGTGGAAGAACTCATCACCAGCGGGGTCAATGACCAGCAGCGTCACCTGGTCCTCGTGGGCGCGGATCCTGTGCACGGTCTGCTCRTGGTCCAGCCCCTCGATGCTCTCTCCGTTCACAGCCAGCACACGATCCCCTTCCTTCATCCCAGCCTGCTCAGCTGGCAGCCCCACATCCACATCCCACAGGAACTGGCCTGCCAGAGCCGGGCACAGGGAGGGGGAGATGCTCACAGAGGGGAACAGCCTCTGCTGACCCCCATGTGCAGGTAGGGACATGGGGCTGGCAGCTCTTCCTGCCCCTCAGCCATGCCTTGCTCAGGTAAAAACCGCCCCCTCACCTATGCCCCCCGAGCTGCAGTCATCCTCCTTGAGCAGGAACCCATAGCCAGCCGGACCCTTCACCAGGTGCAGCTCCCGGACCTTGAAGGGCAGCCAGGAGGTGTCTGCCAGGGCGGCCGTGACCCGCAGGCCCCGCAGGCGGTAGAACTCCTCCACGGCGCTGGATGCCACCAGCAGCGTCACCTTGTTGCCGCTCTGCTTGAGCTGGATGGAAGCACGGGGCCCTCAGTGACACTGCCAGCCCSATCCCTCACCCCCCAGGCCGGGAGCAGGCACCTTTTTGCTGAGCTGTGTGTGTGAGTAGCTCTTGACGCTGTCCCCGTTCAGCTCCAGCAGCCAGGAGCCTGGTGGCACCCCTGCTCTGTCCGCYGGCCCGTCCTGCAGCACCGACAGCTGGAAGGTGCCCTTGGTGCCTGCAGGGAGCAGGAGGAGGAGAAGGGGCACTTTGGGGTGGGTGAGGTGCTGCAGTGGGGATGCTCACAGGGCAGGATCCTGCTTTACCTTCAGGACACGACACGCTGAAGCCAAAGCCGCTTTTGTCCCTGGCGACATGGCAGAGGCGTGGGCGGATGTCATCCGGGAGCATCTGGGACAGGTCCCTGCCCAGGGATTTGGCAGCTTCATAGGAGTCACCATCCAGCACCGCCAGCAAGACCTGATTCCCACTGGCCTTGATCTTCTGCACCACCTGGAAGGATCCAGGCTGTGAGCCCTGGGCAGGCACCCCTCTCTTGGGGTGGGATTGGGGTCCCAGGGGTCAGCAGGGGTCAGCAGGGGTCATGCATCCTCTGTGCCCCCAGCTGGGGAGGAACCAGCCATTCCCACAGCCCTGGGGTGCTCCCAGCTTACCCTGACATGGTCCATGTGGTCCACGAAGTGGCCATTGACCTGGAGGAGGCGATCCCCGTCCTGCAGCCCCCTGCGCTGGGCCACCCCCCCCAGCTCAAGCTGCCGGATGACRTGGCCCTGGCAGCCCAGCTCCTCGTGGAGGCAGAAGCCAAAGGTCTCTGTGCTGTCCTTGGTCAGGAGGTAGAAGCGGGGCTCCCCCACACCCTCACCATCTGTGTGGGGGCACAGCCCATGAGCAGGGCCCTGCAGAGATCCTCACACGAGTTCTGCACCCCATCCTGGGCTGGGCATCTGCCCATCCCTTCTGTGTTCACCTCCCACAGGTGCCCAGTGTGGGAGAGCTCTGCACCCCAGCAGTGCCCAGATACCATAACCCCGTGCAGACATGAGGATACCCTGGTGTCACAACCCCGTGCAGACACAAGGACACCCTGGTGTCACAACCCCGTGCAGACACGAGGACACCCTGGTGTCACAACCCCCTGCAGACACAAGGACACCCTGGTGTCACAACCCCGTGCAGACACGAGGATACCCTGGTGTCACAACCCCGTGCAGACACAAGGACACCCTGGGTGATGAAGGCATTTATTTACCCGTGTCCTCAGTCAGTGTCAAGGCAGGGTTGTCGATCCCAACTTTGGGGTTAAATTCAAATTTTCTGAAATGATAAAGGGCAGGAGAGGCCACGTTAGTGCAGGATGGCCTTGCCCCTGCCTCCYCCAGCCTTGGGGAGGCTGTTCCTCCCAGAAAGGAGCAGCTGGGGCCTSTGCCTCCAATTCCTTGGGGAAAGCCAGGAGGGCATCTCCCTCTCAGACCATTCCCCACATCTCTCCTGAGCCCCACAGAGCCCCTGGCCAAGGGGAGATCAGCACTTACATGATGGACATCTTGTCTCCCTCGAGCCCTGCAGAGGGAGAGGASAGGTCAGCACAGGAGCTGGTGGGCTGGGAGCAGACCCCACACTCTCGAGCATTCAGGGTTTGTTCACTCCCAGGCTGAGCCTGCCAGGCCAGGTGAAGGGTTTGCTGAGCCCACAGAGMCCCCCAAGCCCCTCTGTCTCTCAGCACGGGCTGCTCCTTGGTCCTGTCACCACTGTCCTCCTGCATTCCTAATTCCTGCTGCTCCGGTCCAACAAGCACTCACTGCCCGGCCCAGTGGGGTCAGAGAAGGGACAGGAGCTGGAGCTCAGTCCTGGGGGTTTACAGAGCTTTGAGTGAGGGATCAGAAAGTTTACCAGGATCCCACAGAGCTGCCTGAGTCAGGAGATGGAGACAGAGGCCTTCCCCAGCACACACCTCCCTACAAAACCCCTCCACATGTCTTCAGGAACAAGGAACCCCAAACCCAGGGASAGGGGATTCCTCTGCAGCATCCCCACAACGAAACATTTTCCTGCACGCCTCTGGCTCCTTTCCACGGGCTGCTCTGACACTGCCTTGCCCCACATGGCAGCAGGGGCTGTGTGTGTGGGGAAGGGTCTGCAGAGGATTCTCTGGCACGTACCTTTTGTTTGCTTCATGGCTGCAGGGCTTGCGAGAGAGAGCAAGGTACAGGGTGAAGTGGCAGGGAAGCGTCCCCGCCTCTTCCAAGACGCCCCAGGTTTAATGATTAAACAGCCCCGACGTCTTCCCTGCCCTCGCAGCCCCAGGGCACTGCCAGCGGAGCTGGGAGCAGGGATCGGCACCCCGGGACACCCCGCTTGGGGACAGCTCCTGGTGCCTTCCAGGGGACACACGGGGGGAACAGTGACCGGTTCAGCACTGGAGCAGAGGGGAGTTGCTCCGTGCCAGCCCTGGGAGATGGGCAAGGGGCAGAACCCTCCGCTCCAGCTGCTGGAGGGGCGGCTCCACCTTCCTCCCCAGGAGATGAAGATGAGATCAAGTCTTGGCACTAGCGTGCTTCAGTGAAAATAAAGTGGTGCACTTTAATGCTCCCCAGAGATTCACAAACAAGCCCCAATCCCGCTCCCTGCTGCTGCTCTGGCCRGGCTGCAGGGGCTGGGTTTCCACAAGCCCAGAAGAATGAGTCCCATTTGCTCCTGGCCTGGTTTCTGTACCGTTCCCACACTTCAGCCTCGCCTGCCGATGAGGCTGAGCCCCACACACCCAGCACCTTTCACAGCACCATCCACTCAGCATCTCCAGGCAGGTAAGGGCGCAGGGAATGTGCTGCTGGGCACACTCCACTGCCCCATGCCTGGCTGGTGGATGGGCAGCAGCTTAGAGGGTCCCGTCCTGCAGTTTCCCAAGCATTTTCTTGACCTCGCTCTCGACTCGCAGGAACTTGGCTTTCCTCCAGGGATTGGCGGTCTGGCTGCGGCTGCTCTCCAGGTCCTGCAGGAGGAGGGCGAGGTGCTGCCGGACGCGCTCACGGTCCCAGAAGGGCAGGTTCCTCTGCACCACGTTCAGGATGTGGGACCAGTAATCGGAGACGTCGGTGCCCGCCGTGAGGAAAACCAGAGCYCTGACGCCGTCCCGGTCCATGCGCAGGCTGTCAAGCGCTCTCTTCCCATCCTCACTGATGTCGTTGAAGTAGAGGCTGGGAAAGCAGCAGGAGACGCTGGTGAGGGCTCAGGGGAGGGACAGACAGACAGGACAGGGACAGCCGGTGGGCAAAAGGGAAGGGATGTGGCCGAGCAGACTCACTGCACTTTGTCCAGCGTCTCGTGCCCTTTGGCCACCTCCACCACGCGCAGGGCCGCCGCGTCCGTCAGGGAGTTGTAGCCCAGGTTGAGCTCCTGCAGGTGCCGGTTCTCAGGCAGGCGCTGGGCGATGGCCTCGGCACCGGGGTCCCCCAGCGCCGTGTGCAGCAGGGWCAGCTGGGTCAGCGAGCGGTTGCCGGCCAGCGCCTCGGCCAGGTACCGAGCTCCCTGCTCACCCACGGGGTTGTTGGCCAGCCTGCGGACACGGGAGCTCAGGAGGGCCGAGGCACGTGGAGGGCAGCAGCAGCAGWGTCATGCAGGGCAGGGGCCGTACTCACCGCAGGCTGCTCACCACGCACTTGTCATGCAGGAGCAGGTCACGGATCTCCTTGCAGGCATCGGAGCCCAGGCTGTTGAGCTGCAGACTGGTGCAGAGCAAGACACGGGGGTGACAGGAGCAAAATGGCTGTTAGCTGTGAGCCTGGCAGCCCTGCCCGCTCCGTTTTCCCCATCACCGTCCTCCCGGGGMTCCCCAAACTAGGCCAGTCCAGGTTTCATCTCCCAAAGGGAGAACGGTGACACCGCACCGGGGCATGAGCCAGCAGCGCTAGTGCCAGCAGGAGCAGGGCACGGGGAAGGGGATGGCGGAGTCTTCAGGGGGTGGGTGAAGGTCAGAGGAGGGATCAAGGATCCATCAAGCCCTCCTGAGCATCTGGAGGAAGGAAGTGCGGCACAGCCCAGCTGCACAGCCCGCTCCATCTGTGCCGAGCACGTCTCGCCACCACCTGGGCGGCAGGAAGACCTGCAGCTCCACAAATGTTCTGGAACGCCTGTGGGAACATCTGCACAGCCCAGACTCTCACCTTTGGGACAGCCAGCTCCGCACAGAGCTGTGACACCGGGATGCTGGGTAACATCCCACAGGGACCCGGCTCTGCCAGGACAGCTGGCAGCTCAGCCTGTACGAGCTGCAGGGAACTTCCCAAAAATTCCTTTGGGAGGGTGTGCTGGGACTGCAAATCCCAGCATGCAGTGCCCCAGAAAGGCTGCTCAAGGAGTGGTGCATGTTGGAAGCTGTAGTTCCCCAGGTCTGCACGGAAGATAAACAAGCCTTTCCCTAATTTTTCCATACCTGGRAAAAAGAACCCCTGTGATGGGCAGAGGTGGGGAAGAACCCAATTTTSGAGCACTGCCCGAGGGCAGGAGAAGGCGGTACTCACTGGAGAGCTTTGCATCGCAGCAGGACGGGGAAGAGGGTCCTCAAGCTGCCGCTGTCCAGGTTGCAGGAGGTCAGGTTCAGCTCCTCCACGTCGTGGCATGTGGTGCTCATGACAGACGCCAGCACGGAGCACTTGAGRGGGGTCATCTTGACGGAGGAGAGGTTGACAGCGCGCAGGGAGCGCACGGCCTCGGCCGTGAAGCGCTCGTTCTGGAACTCGTGCAGGAAGAACAGGTAGTCCATGAGCTCMGAGGGGGGCAGGCCCTTGTGGCCCTTCCTGATGACMGTCTTCTTCATGGCCTTGGCGATCTCGAAGGCTGCCAGGTTCTTGATGGAGCAGCCCAGCTGCTCCAGGATGGCGCGGTTACGGCGGGACAGGATCCCACCCATGAAGATGGGGAACAGCTCAAAGACCTCATCGTCGGGGGCCTCGTCGGGGTGGCGCATGGGGCCTTCCACGCCCAGGATGCTGGAGTTTATCTGGTCCAAGACATCGTCGTTGTAATAATCCTCCTCTTTGAACAGCTCCTCTGCCATGGTGTGGGCAATGGCATCCTTGTCCTTGCGGCTCAGCCGGGAGAAGTAACGAGGGAAGATTTTGAGCAGGTTGAAGAGCACAGGCAGGAAGCGCAGGGGCAGCACCTTGGAGATGATGTTCAAAACCACAGCCACATCTTCGCTCACCTTCCCAATGACCTCGGACAGCTCCTTCCCCACTCTCTGGGCCAGGCTCTTCTTCTCRCCCAGCACCACGTAGAGGGCCGCCAGGTACTCCTGCATGGCGGGGATGGTGAAGACGAAGGTGTGCTCCTTGCCKGGCTGCACGCACGGGCTGAGGAAGAAACGGAAGACATCACTGCGGAAAACCTCCAGGAGGTTGAGCTCGCTTTCGGTCTTCATCTCCACCTCAAAGCACTGGCGCAGGTCTTCCTCCGAGAAGCAGATCTTGCGGGACATCACCCCCTCGTAGGCCAGCTTGCCCACCGTCTTGGCAACGTACTTCATCATGGAGATGTGGGTGGGGTCGGTGCTGTCCAGCACCTCCCCRCTGAAGTTGAGCCTCAGGAAGCTGGTGTAGATGCCAGTCAGRGTCTGGCTGGGAGGAACCGTCCTGGTGAAGTAGAGGAAGTGCAGGGTGGTGCACACCAGCCAGCAGTAGGAGGGCAAGAAGCAGGCGGCCGTTATTTGGTTGTGGCGCTCCAAGTTCCTCGACAACATCTCCACCAGGTTCTCCTGCTCTGCTGGGCTGCGGGGCTGGCTCTCCTCCCCGGTGCAGCCGGGCTGGCTCAGGCGCATCTGGAAGTAGAGCTTCTGCAGGTTGGTGTCGGAGAAGCCGCAGATCTCGGCGTAGCGCCCCACGTACTTGGCGGGGATGCGGCGCACGGCTGATGGGCGCGTGGTGACGATGATGCTGGCCTGGGGACACAGCCATGGGTGAGTCTGGAGCTGCTCTGGTGGCTCCCCAGTGTGCAACCCACAGCTGTGGGTTCAATAGGTGCACAAGGATCACCCCACCCAGGGGTTGGGGCTCACAAAGCTGCTGCACAAAGGGTGCCAGATCAAACCTGGCCCAGGAAGGGGGGACACAAGAACTTTCCCCATTCCCTCCTAGACATAAATAAAGCCCGGAAGATCACAGCCATCATTACCTTACCTGGCCTCCCCAAAGGTCCCACCTGTGACACAAGGCCACCTTAGCAAGTCCATCCATGAATGGAGGCTGCCTGTTTGCTCCCAACCAAGCTGGACTGCAAATAATGATCACAACAGCCCTGGGCTCACCCCCAAGCTTCTCCCAGCACAGAGCAGGGCACCACTGACCTCAGGCAGGAGGTATTTCCGCAGCAGGTTGACCACAATGGCAGAGGGAGGCACGGGCTCGTTGGGGTCGCAGCACAGCTCCGTGCCAGCCAGGCGGAAATCCAGGTTGAGGCGCTCCAGGCCGTTGAGRATGAAGAGCACCTTGAGGTTGGAGGCCTCCAGCACCGGCACCACGTCCCGGAGGTGCTGGTATTTCTTGGTGATGAGGCGCCGCAGGGAGAYGTGGGCATGGCTGTGGGACAGGTCCTCGCAGGAGAAGGGGATGACCAGCTCGAAGCGGGGCAGGCGGCCGTGGCACCAGTCCACCACCATCTTCTTGATCAGGGTGCTCTTGCCCGTGCCCACGGTGCCGTAGAGCACCACGTTCTTCACCTGCCGCCCGCAGGCGTCCACGTCAAAGAGATTGTGGAGGCTGATAACCCGTCTGCTGGGCTGCTGGAGCTGGTTCTGGATGGTTAAATCAGGGGACGGCTTCAGAATCTCCTCCAGGGAGCTCTCCCGGATCACCGGGTCCACATGGACGGCATCCAGCGAGAAGGAAGGGCCGAACTGCCTCTCCTCATTGGGCTGGTGGCTGAACCATGCAGACAGGCTCTTCTGGTGCTTCTTGATGGCTCCTGGAAGGGGGAAGGTGTTGGACACCACAAGGGCTTCTCCCTGGCAGGGGCTGGGGAAGCTTCCTGCCCCCAACCACTGCAGAAAGGGACAGCACCCAGTTATGGGTAACCCTCACACTGCTYGGGACAGCAGCTGTGTAGGATCCCACACAGAGCTGCAAACTCACCGGAGGAGGCCACGTTCCTCAGCTGGGATTGCCCATGGCGAGAGGAGCTGGGCTGGACAGAGCTGTCCTGGGAGCCTCCCTGGTAGCGAACACAGGCCCTGCAGGAGGACGGAGAGTGTCACAAGGAGCAGCTCCAGGCCCTGCCTGGGGCAGGGTGGGCAGATCTCAAGCCAGGCTGCGGGAAGTGCTGAGAGGAGCCAGCTCACCCCTTCCTTCCCCCACAGCAAGGGAGGGCGCAGGGCCAGGGCAGGGGCACGGTGGGAAGTGAAGGCAGAGCAGCAAACCAGGGACTGTGCATTCCCAGAAAACCCGTGGTGAGGCAGAGGAGCTGGGCTGGAGTCAGAGCAGGCAGGGAGGTGGCTCTGGGTGTTTTTCTAGGTGGAAGCAAAGCAGTGTCCCTGGTGCCAAGGCAGCCAGCTCAGCCAGCCTGTGACACTGACTGTACCTGGGGAGGGAGGTGCTGCTCGTGCCAAGGATCTTCCTGAGGAARGACCTGCCTGCAGGACCTGGTGGGGAGGAAGAGTGAACATGGTCAGGGATGGCATCCCCCAGCCCAGCCCAGAAAACCCCACCCACCCCACCAGCTTCACACCTTGCCGGGTGCCCCACATCCCTGCACATCTGGGGAGGGGTGTCCAGCAGGGACAGGGTGCCGGAGGCACAGAGCCCGGCTCACCTGGCACTGGAGCTGCACACACACACACGCTGCGGCTCCCCCKGCTCCCTGCCAGGCAGCGAGGCAGCTGAGCCCAGCTCTGGCACTGCATGGCCCGGGACATCATCCACCTGGAACACAGGGGTGGCGGTGAGGGGCTGCGGGGAGCTCAGCAGAGCACCAGGGGACGTGGGGATGCGGTGAGGGGATGCAGGGAGCTCAGCAGAGCACCAGGGGACGTGGGGATGCGGTGAGGGGATGCAGGGAGCTCAGCAGAGCATCGGGGGCTGCAGAAATGCCATGAGGGGATGCAGGGAGCTCAGCAGAGCACCAGGGGCCATGGGGGTGTGGTGAGGGGCTGGGGGGAGTTCAGCAGAGTACCAGGGGGACGTGAGGATGCGGTGAGGGGATGCAGGGAGCTCAGCAGAGCACTAGGGGCCATGGGGATGTGGTGAGGGGTTGTGGGGCGCTCAGCAGAGCACCAGGGGATGTGGGGATGCGGTGAGGGGATGCAGGGAGCTCAGCAGAGCACTGGGGGCTGCGGGGATGCGGTGAGGGGTTGTGGGGCGCTCAGCAGAGCACCAGGGGACGTGGGGATGCGGTGCAGCAGAGCCCTGCCCAGCCTCACCTGCCCCAGCGTGGTCCGGYCCGGCAGAACCGGCTGTGCTGGCGCTGACTCAGGCTCCCGCCCCAGCTCAGCAGGGCGATCCTTCGGGAGCAGGGGTGGTGCTCACAGCCCCCGACATCCCGGGAAACTGAGGCACGGCGGGGAGAGAGGTATAAGCAAAGCCCMGCAGAGAGAGGAAGGTCCGAGCAGGGTGACAGCTTGCTCACACCTCCCCCCCAAGCCAGRCTGTTTACAGTCCCTTTTTCTGTTATCCCGATGGAGAAACTGAGGCACGGGGGCAGGGGCAGMGGAGCTGACCTTGAACGTGGGTGTCCCGACCTCGGTGCCTCGGCACAAAACAAACCCCACAGTGCCCCATGCCCGGCTTCCAGCCCCTTCCCCGCCCCTCCGCTGAGCCCTGTGCCGCCCCCCCTGCCGCAGCCCCCTGTCCGGGAGCCCTTTGGGGACCCCCGTGGCACCCCTGGCACTCGGTGCCCTCGCTCGCTGTGCCCTCCCAGCGCCCCKCTCCACGGCCGAGGCCGTGCCGGTGCAGGACGCGCAGCCCGGGGCGGCGGSGTTACCTCGTCCCGCAGGATCGCAGCCCGGAAAGCCGAGCCCCCGGTGCCGCCGGGCTCACGGAGCACAGCCCGGAGCTGCCCCTCCGCCTGCTGCCATGCCTGTCCCGGGCACAGGCTCCGTGCGGGGGCGGCTGTTTTGCARGCAGAACTTCCTGCAACGCCATCCTGCCCTGTCCCGCCCCGCGGCCGGCGCCTGCCAGCTCCCCGAGCAGGATGGGAGAGCGGCTGGGGCTGGGGAAATCTGCGGCATCCTCCCCAACACCTATGGAATCGGGGGGTTTGGGGTTTTACCAGATGTGCTGCAAGGCGGGGATTTCCTCCGGCCACATCTGGCGGYTCTGCATCCCCGGCTGCTGCCCGGCTGTGCAACTGCAGCCTGCGAGGATGAGTTCTGCTGCCCCGGAGAGAATCCCTCCGCACCGGGGGAGGCTGTGCTGGAGCCCGGCTCCGGGTCCGGCAGCGCCTGTTTGCCTTTTTTACACGCGTGATGCCCCCACAAATACACAAACACACAAACGCACAAAYACACAAACACACGTGTGCCTTTTTTTACACACGTTCTGCCCGCACAAACAAATACACAAACCCACCTATGCCAGTTTTACGTATGTGATGCCCGCACAAACACACACACAAACGCACCTGTGTGATTTTACACACGTGATGCCCGCACACACACACACACGCACCTGTGCATGTTTTACACACGTGATGCCCGCACAAACACACACACAAACGCACCTGTGTGGTTTTACACACGTGCTGCCCACACAAACACACACACAAACGCACATTTCCTGCCCTCCCGCTGCTCCCCGAGCAACCCCGACCGCCCAGCAAGGGACAGTGGGGCCGAATGCACTTTTCTCTGTCGCTGGATGCTGTTCCGGGAAGTGCCAGCCCACCCATGGGTGTTGGGATGGAGGAATCACCCCTGGGTAACTCTGCCCGGCCATATGAGCGCCCCAAATTCCAGACAACACCTTACCCTCACCGGCGTGCCCTCAAAAACGGGAGACATCCAGGCTGTACACTATAAATATAAGTTTTATTGATGTGTGAAATCCAACAAGTACAGCTGGCATCTCAGAAACACCGACAGAAACCGCGACATCTCCTCCTGCCCGGCAGCTCCCGGGACCCTCTGGGCACTGTGAGCGCCAGCGGCAAGCTGGCACCGGGCACCCCGTCCCTGCGGGGCACTTACCTGCGTGTGCAGCCCAGCCTGGAGAGCCCAGGGCTTCACCTCCACCCTGCCTGGTTCCTGCCAGGCTGCAGCTGTGGGCAGCAGCTCTTCACAGCCTCCTCCCAACAAGGCAGGAGGACCTGGGCAAATGCCACCCCGAGCAGTTGCCACAACAGAGCTGTGCCAGCACAATCCCTCACCTTTGAGCTGTTACCTGCATCGTACTTTGGCAAGCTGTCCCGGGGAAAAAGCAGCTCGCCCCTGTGTCTTGTGGAAATGTGGTTTGAATGCCTGCAATTCCCTGCGTGGTCCCCGCGGATCACTCGTGTCCCCCCGTGTCCAGCCCCCTCTGCACCTGGATATGGTGAAGGCTGGAAAATCACGGGGTCCAGAGGGACAGGGACACGCAGAGATGCCCAGGCTGCCCTGGCACAGGGACGGGACAAACGGTGTCCGCACACAGTGAGAAGGAAACACTGTTTTATTGCCTGATTTGGAAGAGGGGTGAAACCCTGGGAGAAGCCCCATCCCCTCCCTGTTCTAGCCCCGTCTCCCCTCCAGCAAACCCCAGCCAGGTGATGAAGCATTTGCTCTTCTTGTGCGTGTGACAAAGGTGGCCTGGACATGCGTGGAGGTGAGCGGCCACAGCCCTGCGTGCCTGCAATCACAGCACGGGAGAGGCAGAACCGGGCACAGCCAAAGGGCTGAAGCAGTTTTTGGTGGGTTGAGGCTCAACCGCTGTTCCCGGGGAGCCAGAGGCACGGCTTGAACCCCAGCATCATCACTCAAAGTGCATCACAAGGGAAGGCAGGGCCAGGAGAGGTGAGGAGGAGTGGGGGAAGAAGCCTGCTCTCCTCCAGCACGCTCCTCGTGATTATCCACTCGCGTTCTCCCGTGGGATTCCTGCAGCCGGGAGCACCCACGGCTCTGCTTCCCTGCTCTGATAAAGTGCATCCTCGCTGCTCCCCATCCCTGTGCCGTGCCAGGGCACACACAGCCCCTCCTGCCCCGTGCTCCTGCAGGGCAGGGACCGTCCTGGCACTAAACCCGGGAGCTCAGCCCAGCCACGCCAGCCTGGGGCTCAGTGCAAACATCCCTTTGCATTTCCTGCACCTTCCCCACCTCTGGGACTGTCCTTGAAGGGACAGAGAGGACAGTGGCACCTTGGCTCTGTTCCTCAGGCAGCACCCAGGGTGCCTTTGCCCCGTGCCACGTCCCTCACCCATCACAGCCCCTTGGTGCCAGCACATTCCTTGTGTCCTGCTGCCCAGGGGACGAGGGGCCTGCCCCAGCACCGTGCCCAGCTCGGGKACAGCCATCCTGCAGCTGCAGGGTTTGTTCTGGCCCTCTGCCCCGCAGTGCCTGGGTACCTGGGCAGCTCAGTGGCACAGGAGGCACAGGCTGTGCTGAGCCCTCCTGGGCATCCTGCGGGTGCTGCCAGCTGCCCTATCCCGGACAGTGTCCCTCCGAGTTTGGGAAGCCTGTTCCATGGGGTTTTTCTCTGCAAGAAGCAGAGCCTGGTCAACAAAGCATTCCCTGTGCATTGGGGACACGGGCAGTGGCAGACACTGGTGCCTGCTGGTAGCCCTTTTGCTCCATGCACTAGTCCATCTTGTTCTCCTGGGAGCAGTGGTGGCCCTGGCTGTGATGGCACGAGGGTGTCCGGGTGTGCTGGGTGCAGGACACGGTGCTGGGGACAGCAGTGCCACCAGGGCACGGAACKCAGGAGCCACCACGAGAGTGCCAGGGAGGAACAGGAGCTGTGCAAAGCAGCCCCAGTGGCTGCATCGTGGGGTCCATCCAGGGAAAACCCTCAGCCCAGCTTAGCTAGACCCAGCCCAAGAGCAAGGCAGAACAGGGCATCACCCCTGCCAGGGACAAGGAGATGGAGAAGGGTGACACCGTGCCATCCCCTGGCTCCCTGCCCTCCCACACACCTCGTGACAGAGCAGATGCAGGGACTGTCCCCCAGTGCTCCGTGCCCCTTGGGCTGTGCCCAGGACACTGCAGCCCTCCAGCTGGCACAGCTCCACTGCAGAGCGCTGCACTGAAGGAATATCCAGGAGCACGGGGGAATTTTGGGACGGACGGTGAAAATCAGGGAAAACCCCAGTGCTCAGCATGGAAAGGGSAGCAGGGTCCTGTGTGCAGGAGAGCCCCTGGCTCAACATTCCTCGATGCCCTCCAGGCAGATGAGACTGCACCTTGCTGAGTGCCAGCATCGGTGCCAGCCCAGCCAGACTGCAGCCCCAGCCCGAGCCAGCAACGCCAAAGCTCAGTCTCCAGGATCCTGCTGGATTCTGGCACGGGCCCTGCAATCCCTGGCTGCTCAGAGTGCCAGCAGAGCCAGGGCCAGCCTGCCAGGGCAGGGCAGGGCAGGGCAGGGCAGGGCTGCCACCCCCGTGTCCCTGCTCACTAAACCGGAGTGTTCCCGTGGCTGTGGTGACAGGGGCAGCACAGGGGCAGCACACCCACAGAGCCTGGGCTGTGCAGATCAGTAGGGCGCTGTGTTCCCAGCACAACACCTTGTGCAGATGTTCTCAGCTCTAGGCTCAGCTCTGGGCTCAGCTCAGAGAGCCAGCAAGGTGCCAGGTGTCCCTCTGCAAGGTGCCAGGTGTCCCTGTGCAAGGTGCCAGGTGTCCCTGTGCAAGGTGTGTCACTTCAGAGCAGCCGCCACAGACCCGTGCCAACAGGGGTCCTTTCCTGGTGTCAGTCACAAAGGGCAAAGCCAACCCGGGTTGGAGTGCCCACTTTGGGATCTCTCATTCCAGTCCAGGCCCTGCTGGGATCCCCTTGTGCACAGTGTCCCCTGGGAGGTGGCACTGGGACACACACGGGTGTCCCTCCTTGCACAGAGTGTGCTGAGCGAGGCTGCTCCACCCTGTCCTGCTGTGGTGCCAGGGAAGGTGTCAGGGAAGGGCTCGGGGCCAGCTCCCTCCTGCAGCAGAGGCTCCAGAGGTGACACAGCTGAGCCCAGCCCTGTTTTTCAGCCTCCTGGAACCAGCAGGGTGTGGGAACCTAAATCCTTGAAGGGACCAGTCACTCYTCTCCACGTGGTTGGTTTGGTTTAGACTTTCTCGTCTCAGACTCCAAAGACAACAGGGATGGAGCATCCCTAAGGTCTGCCTGTGTCGTGAGCGGGTGCTCAAGCCTTCACCAGGAAAAAAAAATGGGAACTTTCCACGTGGGAAAGTCAGCTGGGCTGAGRCTTTTTAAGCAAAGGGGCCAAGCAGAAAACACAGCTTCTTAGGAAAAAAAACAGGATTCCACAGACCCTGAAGATCCCTTCTCTGAGGATGGCACCCCAGCAGAAATCTGAGCAGAGAGCAAATTCCTTTCTCTGCCTGCTGGCTCCCTGTCCCCTCCGTGAAGACTGGGAGGCGGTGGGGTTTGCAGGGAAAACAAAATAGAAAGAAAAATAAAGAAGCAAAAAGAAAAAAATAAAAGGAAAAAAAGGGAAAAATGTAAGGAGGATTTGCGCAGAAAAGAAAGGGGACGCAGCAATCTCTGCGGCTATGGCGGCAGGAAACACTAAAACCTTGTGCAACTTCACCTACTGCATCTTTGGGCTCTTCTCAGCTCTGACTCACACGCTGGACGAGGAACGGGGCCACTAGCTGCTCTCCCAACTCTGCAGCTGCCTCCTTCCAGCCCAGCCCAGCCCAGGCTCCTCCAGCAGCTCCTCCCAGCCTCAATTCGCAGATGCCACCTCCGCAGGACAGTCCCTGCTGTCCCCAGGGCAGCGCCAGGCGGGGACAAGAGGGGACTGAAGCTCCGCKGGGCTCACGGTCCTGGAGGGGAGGGTGGCACATGCCAGGGCTGTACAAAACGTTTTGCAATGAAGAGTGTGTGGAAAGGTTAAAACAGTTCCGAGATGTCTCA